AAGATGTAGCTTAATCCAAAGATTATTAATTGAGTCCGATGGACCCGGTACCAGGTCCATCCCTGTGGGTAGTTACAAAAAGGTGCGATGGAAGATGGTCTATGTATGGAAGATATGCATGGTGTGCCGTTTTGAAAACATTGAGTCTTCAGCTTCCCAAATTTATAAACAAACTAGAGTTGTCCTCGACCAAAGAAACGTTTTTTTACGGCTAACACTCATTATGATATTGTTGACTAATGGATTAGTTGATTTAATCAACAGATCTGTAAAACTGACTTCCCGCATAAATAATCACACAAAAGCATCACTTTAAATCTTGTTTGTACCAGAGAAGTGCTCATAGTTTTCTTTGGAAAAAACAACATGTTTGGTCTCGCTGAAAACTAGAAATTCCGAGGTTTCCAAGCACCTAAACGCAGCATGACTCAAAACAAACAGCGTCCACAATTAGAACGGACACGAAGCCTTCAGACCTCTCACTTCACAGTCACACTGCTGCAAATCTATGTTATCGCCAAAATAAAAACGTTAGATTTGAGTTACTGCCCGTTTCTACGGCAGCAGACAGGAAGTCGTAGTGGGCCTCTGGCGGCCTCGGGGAAGGACACAAACACCATCCAGTTCTCTTCTACTGGCCACCTTTTCAGACCACGTTTGGAGAGCGAGCTGAATAAATTGCATTCATCAGTTGAATCATATGCATTCTTGATCGCCGACAGATCAAACCTCCATTGCACAGTATTCGACTAATAGCCTACAATAGCGTTAACTATTACATTTACACAGAACAGTGGGAGGGTTTTACAAAACGTGGTGTATAGTCAAAACCATAAGAACCAATCAGCTCCTTGATCAGGTGACAGCCAGGTGTTTTTTCGATCATGCCCCTGGTCTTGCATTTTACAACTTTTAGGACCTCATGATTTAAAGGGCTATAAGTGTTTGATTGCATCTCCTTTGACTCTGGAGTGGTAATAGAAATAGGTTTACTTACAATGGTTCAAACTTTGCTTCTTACTTTTCAAAAGTGACCAGAAATAGGCATACAAGCCATGGTTGAGGAGCTATTCCTGATTCATTTTGGGTAGGCCTATGTTAGTTTAGGCCCTTTTTTCCAATAGGGCTAGAGCTTAAGATATTAATGTAAAATAACACATGAGTCTAGTAGAATTAAACTTGCACTATCCTAATATGTTTGTGTACTTTGTGCATTGCTTTCCTGAAAGCTGGGATCTAGTGAAATATGTCATAAGACTAAAATAGCCATGGTCATTTTGAGAAATTGCCAGAAAAGGTCATGCACAATGCCGTCAATGGTTTCTAATTTTGTAGCATTGCCTCATATTTATTTCAGCTTCATCTGTTGTTTCTCTTCTCTGTGTGAAGATGGAATTGCAGATTTTTAGTGTTACAGCCAGGCAGAGGAGTGGAGCACAGGGAAGTGGAGTGCTAACAGTAAATCCGGAGGCCTGGAGGAGGAACAGGAGGAGCGTGCCTGGAGAAGAGTCTCAGTGGGTGGGACTAGCGGGCCATGGTGACTCACTGCTACTCGCTGGTTGGCTCTCGTACCTGGCATCTGGAGCTCATTGACAATGACTCTCTATGGCAACCAGAAGTTGTGGAATTGTAAACAGACTGAGAGACTGCAATGACGGGCTGGAACCAGGCTTTCGCAGTTTCTCCACCACACGCTCAAGAGCCCCAACAGGACTGCCAGCCTACGCACATGTTTAGGTCAAAGGGAGCAAATGAGGCAAATTACACATACACACAAAGTCACATAGAGACAAAGGCCTTTCCCCTTGCACATTCTGTGTATAATTATGCAACTTTCTGCAGCATTCAGGATTCATCAAGGCATTTTTTTTTCAGATTTAGAGTTATTTTGCCACTGTAGAAATTAGATAAAGAGTAATAAATGATTCAAATACTTATTTTATTGCAAATTAAACACTTGGTCAGGTTCCTGTGAGAATATTGTTTGAGAATATTTGAGAAGTAAAAAAATAAAAAACAACTATGTCCCCTATATTGCAGAAAGCTGCACTATTTCTTTCTGACTGGATTTGTGTGGCCTGCAGTAAGTTGAAAAGCGTCTGTAACCTTCCTCAGTTTTTGCATAATAAACACTATAATATAACAAAAAGTTGGAAGAATCGCTAAACACTGCAGAGCAGCAGTTCCCTGGGGAACTATCTCTCAGTAATTGCTCCCAGAACTACAAGTAACTTCATATAAAACTACATTAGTATCAGTGATGCATTGAGTCAGAAACTGTCGGGCTGGAATTCAAAAAGCCTCTTACTTACAAAATAATTTCAGTTTCTGATAAGACAGCATTAGCTCTACATGCTAATGCTAGAAATGATGCCAGTGAGCCAGAATAACAGACAGTGTGTGCAGAGCCTTTTACAAACTGAGCTGTCAGAAGCAGAAGTTTCCCTTAATTTCCTCCTCATCTTCTGCTCCGGTGAGTCTTTGACAAATAGTCAAAACCTCGTGGGAGCAGATGCAAAAGATGCTAGCTCAGCCGTCCAAAAACCTACATCTATGTAAATCTTCCAATATGCAGAATCAAAATGTATCTGGAATCGTTTTGAATATGAATGGTTAACCGACTATGCTAAATTACCTGACCGTTTACCGTCACTTCTGTCTTTGTTTGGGTTACTTTTAACCGTGCTTCCTGGTGAATACAAGTCGAGTTGATTAATGTTTGTGTATTACTCATCTTTCTGTCATGTTTGCCATCAGTGGCAGTGTACACAATCATTTGTGACGTCTAACTGGAGAAACGAGTCCACAAAATTCCACTTCCCGCTTGTAACACGACCAAGAGGCTGACGTAAATGGATTTTCCCAGTCGTTGTATTTTACCATGAATTGTATTTTCATAAATCCACCGTGACATTAGGCACTTCAATGTGCTAAACTAAGTCCGGCTGATTCAGGGACAGTGTGCTGAAGGACCTATTTTCTTGGAAAATTGTCTAATCTATATGCTGTCAAGGTCTCCATTTGTACAGCCATTATACTTTCAAAAAACTAAAATACCAGAGTAATCTTGATATTCTGCATGTGGCAGATTAAAGAGATTCTGGCTGACAAGCAGTATAATTAAATGCCTGTACTTTCTTAGCTAAACCTGGTGTGGCAGCTTGGTTTGAGAAACGATTGTGTAGGTACAATGACAAATATATGGCTTGTGTGAGCAGCGCTGTGACTCTGCAGTACTTGTTCTCTGGAATCACATGACAAAGGACTACCAGAGAATTTCTCCTGAGCACCGCTGCAAGTTGGCATTCTTTAAATAGGCCAGACTGGTTGCAGCTGGCTTTTAAAGTGTTACTGTCTGTCATGCATTAATGCCTTTAAAAAGGTTAATGTTATCAAAACATTTACAACAGTGTTGACTGGCAGATGCTCCAAAGCACTCATCACATAATAAACTGTACAGAATGTGATTTAAAGAGTGATATGATGATTTTTGACTGCACTCATTTGGTATTATTACACACAAAGGGGTGTATTCTGTAGTTCCAGCCTAATCCTGCATTCATCTCAACCATAAATATGATTCATTATGTTTCCAAAATCCTCTCGTTGTTTAGTTCTGTGTAATTTAAGGGCGGATGTTTCATATTTTACAAGGAAAGCAAAGCATTTCCAAAATAGCCATTCTCTGGAAGATTAATTACATTTTTAAAAGACCCTCTGTATTTAAGTCGAACAATGTTAGGTGATATTGAGACGGTGAGAAAAATAATATTTTTTCCTGGACCACTCACAGCGCACAAATCACCTCAGAGACCCCTTATCTCTCTGAAACCTCTTCGCTGAGCCCCTTTGGCTGAGAGGAAACAATAAAGTGCTGTGGATGCAGGTAGACCAGGAGCGGATTCCCGTAATTATGTTGGATATGGAGGTTATTCCCGTTCATCCATCATTTTAGCGGTTTGCCGTAAATGTGCATGTGTTCCTGCACTGTAGTTGCTCCTAATGAAGACTTGAGGGATCTGTGCTTTCACAGTATTGTAATAAAGAAGTCACATCTGGGGTGGTAGTTAATCCCAATTAGTAGTAGATATATTTGACCAACAATATGTTGGATTTTACATTTGAATTAGTTACTTTTTGTATTGAGAGTAGCTCCCAATAACCGTACTGTCTGCCCTGTCTATACGCCCTCGATTACCGGTTAAGGTGCACCATGTGCGACCATGGATGGATTACCGAACAGGTAAGGGGCACCCTGAGCCAGACTACAACCTCAAGAGGATGCAAAATGACCAGAAAGAGATGCAAAATGACCATGGAGAGATGCAAAATGACAACAAAGAGATGCAAAACAACCAAAAACAGATGCGAAACCACCAAAAATATATTTCTTTGAATCTGTGGGTCTTGTTCTAATGTAGGAGCCAAGACAGATGGGGGCCCTTTCCATGTCTGTGCTCAGGGGCCCATTGCCTCATAACCCATGTGTGCAACAGTAAATACAACTTATCGTTGTGCTGAAGTAAACGTGTTGACACATTTCTAACTACTATTTGTCTACAGGGCGGGGGGGGGGGGGGGGACATTTCTGAGAAGTTCTAAGCTTGTAAGAGGCGTACATGTTACAAGCAGGCTTCATTATGTAAGTGCACGTGAGAGCATGTTAGGTCACACTTTCACCTGGAATCCAGTGAGTCACGGCAGAATACAGTATTCAGCTCATAATTCTCTGGATTGCTATTTACTGATAACATGATGAGATATGTTTGTGTTTAGTGTATCTGTATCTGGGTCGAGGAAGACTTTAAGAGGAGATCATTAAGTGAACTGGTGGCCTGACCTCTGCAGCGAGTTAACAAAATCAAATGTGATGTTATCAAAACTTATCTAAAGGATCCATGCACACAATGAGCAGTGTGATTCACTATTAGTCCGTTTTTCACTGCCTGTGGAAATAAAAGTTTCAATCGTCATCAAATAAATCAAGCAGTGAGATCTCATTTCATAGAAAAATAGTGCCCTTTTATTATAAATTAATGAAATGTTCATACAAATATAAATAAGTGCAAAGTCGTATCAGTCTGCTTGCTTCGTCAAACACATTTCTTCAAGCGTCCACAGCCAGTAGTTTGGCTGGTAGAAAGTACATCTTTATAAAAGACAGCACAAAAACATCTTCACTCATGTAACCTCATGAAAATAAGACACATTTTAACTCTTCTCCTTATTGGGAAAATACAGGTACCATGTTTAATACATTCATTTTGCAAGTGATGGCAATCCTTTCTGTGCCACAAATACTACCACATCTTTTGGCATATTGATATATGTATTTCCTCACCACTGAAGGCATATTAAGCAGTGGTACTGTTCTCTCAAGTAAGATCCTCTAGGATTCATTCATGTTTCAACAAGCTGCTCCCTAGTTCAGGCAAGTTTTGGCGAGAACCCTTCCTCTAAACAAAATATCAGAAACATGTCTTCTTTATTTTCTGGTCTTAAAAACATCTTATAAAAGTCAGATATTTTTTTTTTTCAGTTTTTCCATCGTGGCTGGTACAAATATGCACCCAGGAGGCCATCAGTGTCCACTGGTTTGCACTCTAACTTTCCATTGTCTGTCAATTTCCCAGGATGCTGGAAGGACGTGTGCGATACGTCCAAGATTATCATCGGAGGTCAGCAAAAAAAGCCAGCCTGACCGGCTTTAATGGATGGATGATTTCTCTGAGGCTGATGTGTGTCTGTGTGTGTGTGTGTGAGCCCGACAGACTCACAGCTCATTTGGTTAGCAGCAGCGGAGGGAACCTGTGTGTCATCGGACTTTAGACAGCTGACTGTGACTCTCACTTCAGTTTTCAGTAAGTTGCATGTCATCAGTGAGGCAGGGGAGGGCTGCGGTGGTTCTCTCTCTCTTTCACACTACCAGATCACAGCAGTGCTCTCTTTCTCTCGGCCTCTCTTTGTGGATTAGTCCCTGATCCAGAGTCTCTTCCTGAAACATGGACCTTAAAGACACCGATGCCCACTTTTCCCGAGAGACCTACACACGTCTTGTCAGCACAATAAACTGCTCCTTTTCACAAGCTCGATCTAGCTCTCGAAGCTGCTTCGATTGATACTCCTCGGACACAGCGTGTGTCTTTGACCGTTAGCCGCTCTGAAACACATCCAGTTTCTTTTAAGTCTTTGCCCCTTCAAGAGCATCAGTCAGACGCCTCTAGATAGGAGCATCATAGTCTTGGAGGAACTCCTTAAGAGGATGAGGGAGTTGGTCTCTTTTAGTAGAAATGTCCAAATGTCCATTGACTGTTTTCCTGCACAAGTGCTGCAAAGTGGAAAAGCTACATGAGAGAGGTTTGACGAGCTCCAGAGGGATCTTCTCCCCTCCAGAGTAAATGTAGTACATATTCCCACTGCGAGTGTTCGCTTTGCTCTGAGGCATGTAGAAATGGACCAGCTTGAGGACGCAGTCAAAGTGGGGAACAGAGTGAATGTTCTTAGGGTCTGTCTGGAGGTAAAAAGAGGAAGTGTCACATTGGATGCGCAGGTTCTTGGTGCCCGACGCCGTCTTGATGCTGAGGGCAAACAGGTGTCGGTTGTCGGAGCTGTCCCTGACGAGGAACGTGCCGTTGGTCTGGGCCGCCAGCATGGCGTTGGCCTCCTTACCAGTGATGGTGGCCCAGTAGAAGCCGCTCTCCTTGAGCTTGTGGAGCGTGGCGAGGACCATCTGGTACTGCGTCTTGGAGGTGAAAGTCTTGTAACGTTGAGGCAGCCGCATACTGGAGTCCAAGAGGCTGCTGCTCATTGCGGTGTCAAACTTGCTGTAAGTTACCATGGCGCTGTGCCAGTTCTCTAGGCAGCTTGGGGAGCACTGGGCACCACACAGACAGGAGAAGGAAAAGGTGGAGTCAAAGAGCGGTTCAGAGAGCTGCGATGAGGTCAGTCTGTCTGGAAGTGAAGCACCTGAAGAGACAAAAGAGGGGACGTTAGTTTGAGCTCAGTGTGGGAACAGATGATAAACATTCAAATGCATTTTTAAAGTTTAACAGTGACATAGCCAAGATTTGTTTAACTAACTATTTTTCCAGATGTGGAAGCTCTGTACATCGTGCGCGCTTAAACATCAGCTTTGTGTTTGTCAGCTAGAAACAAAAAAATATACGCAAACTGCACGACTCCTCTCTCCCCTATTTGAGAGGAAATGTGGCTTTAACAGCGTGTTTAGATAAAATGCCTCTATGTAAATTCCATCCATTTCGGGGAAACTTTGTGTGTGAAATGTGCCCTCGGGACTCGGTCAGTTCCAGTAAAGACACCGTAATCCTCATTACGCAATTTAAAACGCCAATGGCCGTTTAACTACCTCGCTCAGATAAACGCGCAAAACATTATTTATCCACGTTTGTATTGTATGCATAGATGAGAAATATGAGAATATGAAGAAAGAAAAAAACAGATCCTCACCTTCAATGTTTCTCCAAATTCGCTCTTTTAAAATAAATCCAAGTGCGCGGCCGCTGTCTGTTCACAGTCAGGACGATACAGACGTTTTAAAGTTCTTTGGCAACAAACTTCGGACTTGTAAAGTAGTCTTCTCTGTGTGTATCAGCCCGAGTGCTGCCCTGTGGAACTGTGAGTGAATAGTGAAGAGGAGAGGAGAGAAGTCATTATAAATGTGAGGAAACTCCTCCCTTCCTCGCTCTTGGCAGATTGACAAGCGTATTTTTTATTTTTTTTCCTGCTACGAGAAGCGTCCTCCCCCTGCTGTTTTTCCAAAATGAAGTTAAGGAGGAGTTCCAAGCAATACTTATTTACCGTTGGTAACCTAGAGTCAGTCTCTTTAGGGTCTTATAAACACTTTAAATAATACTTTTTTTTATCATTATTTAAAGCACCAGCTATATAATTCGATATTTTATGATATGCTCCTTTCCTCTTTTTTTTTTTTTGGTCGAAGTTCCGCTTTCGCGTCATGTATGAGGTAATGATTTAGTCGCAGCTCTGTGTATTCGGTTTCCCAGAAATTCACAGCAATAATAGCTCACATGCTGAGCACCAGTCCTCCAGAGAGGGCGCCAGATTGTGTGTAACTTCATTCAGCACATCTTTATTTCCCAATAGCAAATAGTTGGTATCCAGGGACAGCCGATTATTGACTAATTGTTGTGAAGTTGTGCGTCTGTTCTTTCTTTCAGTCTTAGAACATATTTTATGATTGCTTTTAAGTACTATCCTCAGATCCATGGCAAAATCAAGTGAGGGCTCTGCACTTTGTTAACATGTCAATGAATATCTCAATATGTGCTCTTCATTATCTCTATTGTTCTTAGTTAGTGAGTTAACTATGCTATTTGTACACAGTAAGTGGGGGCTGGAAATGAATGACAATGTTGTAAAACACTATTGTAATGATATGAAGTATTATTGCCGTTATAGGATAAATTGCAAATGTTGATAAATACTATAAATGAATGAACACTTAAAATATCCTCATAGGTGCTTAAATCTACATTAAACCATCTATTGGTTGTTTATAGTAAGTATGATTGCTAAATGATGTGTTTTATAATAATCCAACAAGAAAAAAGTAGTAGTACTGTAGTATAGTAGTATGCATTTTTATTTTTTTTTATTTTGGGAGGGGGGGGGCTAAATCCTATTTCATCTAAATGAATAAACAAACTTGGACAGTCCATTGCTGATTCTCACCTATCAGATGAAAAAAAGTGTATTTCCAGGAGCTCTCCTACCACTGCGGTGACCCTACCTAACCCTTCCCTTGACCCCACCCATACTGTGAGACTTTCTTCATCATCACGTTATAATAAATACCATATCAGCATTAGACTGTCTAAAGGAAGCTGAGTTCAGATCCCCGCATTAAAGACTAGTCCTATTTTTCTGAAGAAAGTTGTATCTTTGGCAACATGCCTCTGACTGATAGAGTGCTCATATCCACACCAGATCCCTCCCTGCTGACTCATCTATGACCGCCAGAAGCCTCAGGTGGTTATTGTACGGCACATTCACTGGTATCATTTCGGGCTTTGCCATCCTTTATCCAACTCACTCATTGCAATCATCATGTAGAAGACAGAAAAGCTCTGACCCTTCTCTGCACAGACCAAACCTCGGCTGGGAGCTGAAAAGGCAACGGACTGACGCCACGGAGCCTGAGTGGGTTTTGGTAAAAGCCAGCTGTGTCGACAGAGGTGAGTCAGGTGTTGTCTGATTCAGACCACCAGCAGGATAGGAGGGTAAGGGAAATTACTAGGATAGCCTCGTAACAGTCCGCTTCTTTCCAGAAAGTCTATTGTGTCATCGGCATGAGGCATGTACTTAGCATCCAAATTCTCCTCCGGGACCATAATGCGTGTCAATGAAAGGAAGAAGGTAAGGAGAAACCCCCACACCCCACACTTTAGCTCATCACATCTCCAAGGAAACCACTATGCACATTATTACAGTATGCTGACTTGGCTTTTAGCATGTATACTGTAATTTCCCAAGTCAATTACACTTTTGATACAAAGACGCTCCAGTAAGGAGGACGGCGCTGGAAAAAAAAAAACCTGTAAGTGCCCCCCAGACGTCAAGACGGTGTGTGGTTAACCAAAGGCAAACCCTCAAACGGTTGGTCAGTCGGCTGACGAACCAAGTGACCTGGAGCTGAGAAAGCTTTCTACGCTGGAGCTGTAGCACGCCGCGAGACCTCGGCCAAACATCTGAAGCTCGGGGTGTGAGTCTTGGCAATGACAGATTTGGCTCTGTAGGCGATGCGTGTGTGTCCCTTTCTGTGTATCCTAATACTCTAGGCTTGCCACAAGAAGTGGAAGAGTGTCAGTTCACATTCAAAGTCAATGAAATGGATTTTTATTTAGCGGAGGAGACAAGGCCTCACATGACAGCTTGTTGCTCTAAACAACTGTTTGGTACAAAAGGCAGCTGTTTAGGTTTTCCCACACTGACTCAGAAATTTACTCGAGCTCATGGTTTCCCGTAAACCCCATTGGGTACGAGGGGGGGGGGGGGGGGCGGAGCTGCGGAAGCGGAGCTGCGGAAGCGGAGCTGCTCGGTCTCGCAGTTTTTCACTGAACAGGGAGATCTTTTGAAAAAAATCCGCGTGTTTTGCCAATTCCATGAAATTGTTTGCGGTGTTGGCAGTTACAAAGGCATCCCTTATTGTTTGTACAGCTGAATACAGTGAGCCCTGAGTTCAGGTTGAGTCAACAACATCAGCAAATGTTATTTATTGAACAGAATCGTGCCATTATGGGGGGGGGTTTCAATAACAATACAGTCTGTTTCACTAAAACCTTTGAACGACACTGAGTAAATGAAAGGGCTGAAAGAGAAATTGATACTATGAGATGTGAAATTACACTGTATGATTCAAATCAGGTAGTGTGGAACTGTCACTGCTGATTAGAGATATGCAGGTAGGTTCCTGGCATATCATTCAATCTAATTCCTGTTAACCCTGTGTCATTATGTACATTAGCTTCACTTCCTGCCTCCCTAAATGTCACAATTTGGTCACTATTGAGCATTTCCTCTTACTTATATTACTTTAAAACTTCCTTGTTGGTTGAGCAAGACTATGACCGTGAGATCAGCCACTAACAATTTCCTGGTAACCCTCTCTCTCTGTCTCTCTCTCTCTGTCTCTGTCTCTCTCTCTCTCTGTCTCTGTTTCT